AAAAAAAAAAAAAAAAAAAAAAGGGATGGTGAGGGTTTTGGTCTGGTTTGGGGTTTTTTTGAGGGGTGAGAGAATTAGGGTTTAGGGTTTAGGGTTTAGGGTTTAGAGTCGCAAAGCTTAGTGAGGGTTTAGGGTTTATTATATCCGTTCAGGGTTTGTGTGGGGTTAGGGTTTGCGTTGCTGGCGTGTTTATAAGGGTTTAGGGTTTAGGGTTTAGGGTAAGCCTCTCCTGTACACCAGTACGCTAAGACATAAATTAGGGTTTAGGGTTTAGGGTTTAGGGTTTAGCGTCGACTTCTCTGGTGAGGGTGACGAGTACATCATTTGTGTTTTCAGTCATCAATACAAACTAGGGTTTAGGGTTTAGGGTTCAGCACATGACAAAAACCACTTTCTAGGGTTTAGGGTTTAGGGTTTATTAGGGTTTAGGGTTTAGGGTTTAGGGTTTACCATCAACTTCTCTAGTTAGCGTGACGAGTACATCATTGGTGTTTTCAGTTAATTATAAAAACTAGGGTTTAGGGTTTTGCACAAACCCTCGTAAACTCTACAAATACACACTACTATCTAGGGTTTAGGGTTCTAGTTTCTAGGGTTTAGGGTTTAGGGTTTATGAGGGTTTAGGGTTTACCATCAACTTCTCTGGTGAGTATAACAAGCACATCATTGGTGTTTTCTCTGTCCAATACAAACTAGGGTTTAGGGTTTAGGTTTATAAACCACACACCAACAACCACTATCTAGGGTTTAGGGTTTAGGGTTTATTAGGGTTTAGGGTTTAGGGTTTATTAGGGTTTATTAGGGTTTACCATCAACTTCTCTAGTTAGCGTGACGAGTACATCATTGGTGTTTTCAGTGCTTTACAAAAACTAGGGTTTAGCGTTTAGGTTTATAAACCACACACCAACAACCACTATCCAGTTTCTAGGGTTTAGGGTTTAGGGTTTATGAGGGTTTAGGGTTTATTAGGGTTTACCATCAACTTCTCTCGTAAGCGTAACGAGTACATCATTGGTGTTTTCATTGACTTTCCATTTATTTGTATTTATAAATTTTTGTATTTCTTTGTCTGCCTCGTATTGTGTTTTTTCGTGGTTTATTTCTTTTTGTATTATATTAGATAAAGACTCAAATGCTGCTGCTGTTGTGCTGCTGCTGCTGCTGCTGCTGCTGCTGAAACCACGCTGCTGCTGCTGCTGCAAATGCTGCTGCTGCTGCTGCTGCTGCTGCTGCTGCAGCAGGGGAGATAGACGGTGAGAAGATAGCAGCAAAGAACCACCTCGAGATACACCACGAAAACCAAATATTCTGCTGCTGCTGCTGCTGCTGCTGCTGCTGCTGCTGCTGCTACTCGCTGCACG